TTACATAATTTTAAATCATTGTTGCTACTGTTCCACAGTATAACACCCTGGGTTGGTATACAGTGCAACTTAGTGTTTGTGCGAATCTGCGGTCTACTAAACATTGATATTCCTCTAAAATTATATGTGTTTTCTCGTAATTGGAAAGCTCTTGGATATTTCTAGGTAATTGGTTGTTGTGAGCTCTAAAAACAATTTGAATAATTTTATAATCAATCAAATCTTTGAACTTTAATATTTTGAGTTTAATGAACAATGGGTTTGTTGGTTCTCTGTATGCAGTTTTATGTATGATTCGAATAGCCCTTTTTTGTAAGATGAAGATTGGGTGTGTATTTGTTTTGTAAGTATTCCCCCATACTTCCACACAATAAGTCATGTACGGGAGTATGAAGGAGCAGTACAACATATTTAGAGAAGCCTTATTCAATAAGTCTTTAGCCTTATTTAATATTGCCAATGACTTGGATATTTTGGTTTTAATATAGTTTATGTGAGGTTTCCAGCTTAATTTGTTATCAATAACTACCCGAGGAATTTTATTTCAGATACTCGCTCTAGTTCTATACCATTTATCATTAGTTTTTTATCCGTGTCAGTTGATCGGTTCCCAAATATTATAAATTTAGTTTTACTCAGATTTAATGTTAGTTTATTTTCATCAAACCAAATCTTCATCCTACTCACTTCCTTTTCCATAGTATCCAGTAGCTTCTCCAAATTTTCACCACAGCATAGTAAATTTGTGTCATCAGCAAAAAGAATGGTTTCTACAATTTGCGATACTTCACATATATTATTTATATAGAGGTTAAATAATAATGGCCCCAACACTGAACCCTGTGGCACCCCACATGTAACCTGCAACAGTTGTGATTTATTGTTTTGTATTTCAACATACTGCTTTCTGTTCTCCAGGTAACTAGACAACCATGTCAGTGCAATTCCTCTAATGCCATATCGTTGTAATTTTTTAATCAATAATTTATGATCTACAGTTTCAAAAGCTTTTTTAAGATCTAGAAATATCCCCACTGCATATTGTTTTCTGTCTATTGCATTTGTAACTTTTTCTATGAATTCTATCATTGCAAGAGAAGTTGATCTGCCAGCTCTAAACCCATATTGTTGCTCACATAGAATACTATGTTTGGCGATGAAATCATCCAGTCTCTGAAAAATTTTTTTTTCCAATATTTTAGAGAACTGTGGAAGCAACGAGATGGGTCTGTAGTTTTGTAGTATACGTCTATCTCCGGTTTTATATATTGGTATTACTTTAGCTATCTTCATTTTATCTGGAAAGACACCGGTTTGTAGAGACTGATTGCAAATGTGGGTTAGAGGTCTTGCTATAGATTCAATAATACTTTTGACTGTGCACATATCAATGTCATAGCAGTCAGTAGACTTCTTACTCTTCAATTTTTTTACAATATCAATAAGTTCTTCTTCATCCGTCCCTCTTACAAACATTGTTTCTTCCACAAATAACTTCTTACATTCTACTCCATCACTACTACCCGTCTTTGGAATATCCCTCGCTAGTCTTGAACCAACACTGACAAAGTATTTATTGAATTCCCCAGCAACTGAAGCCCTGTCAGTGATTTCTGTATCATTCGATGCTAACAAGTAACTTGGATATTCTTTTTTCCCATTTTTTTTAATGATAGCATTTAAGACATCCCATGTTTTTTTTATATATTTTTATTATCCTCTAATAAATTACTGTAATAATCAACTTTACAGCATCTTATGATTTTTGTTAATTTATTTTTATATAGTTTATATTTTTGTTCTGATTCCATTGTTCTTCTCTTTAAGAATTCTTTGTATAATAACTTCTTCTTCTTACATGCATTTATAATTCCTTTTGATATCCATGGTTTCTCAACATATTTTTGCTTTACAATTTTCTTTGCTAGAGGACAATGCTTATCATATAATCCTGATATGATTGTCATAAATGTTTCATAGGCCCAATTGACATCACTCACATAAACACTTTTCCAGTCTTGTCTCAAAAGATCTTGTTTAAAAGAATTTATAGCATCTTGTGTTTTTTTTCTTTTCATCATAATTGTAGTAATATCTTTATTCTTCTGCATACAGTTTTGTATAATTGCAAATACTGGCAAGTGGTCACTTATGTCAGTTATTATTAGGCCACTTGAAACCGGTCTGTCAATAACGTTTGTAAATATGTTATCTATTAGTGTGGCACTGTGAGTTGTTATTCTAGTTGGTCGTGTAATCACTTTTTAATGTTGAAGCAATATTAATACCATTGATTTTGGTTGAAATCTGAACATTATTTCAATATTAACTGAGGGTGCAAGAGTGACATTGAAACAACATCACTTTTTAATGTTGAATATTAATACCATTGATTTTTGGTTGAAATCTGAACATCATTTCAATATTAACTGAGGGTGCAAGAGTGATGCTAAAATGCCTAACGTCATTTCAATGTAATCAGCGTTGACACATCAACACTGACTCAACATCGTTTCAATGGTTACATGCTATCTGGGTACCGTACGGACAGGAGAAGAAGCTCGCGTGCAATCGGGGAAACGTGGAGGCAAAATGACAAAATAATTCATCAGAATACCTAGCAAAAGTTGCTCCTGCTCCTAGCTCATGGGCAGCTCCTACTCACACTCTCCGCCTCTGCATGTTTCGGAAGGGAACGATTCAGATTTTCATGCCACAGCACTAGAAGACAGACGGGTTGCTCTCGTCACATTACGTAGTCAAGCTCTGTTTGAGTCTGCGTGTCAGGGACGGAAGTGCTAAAAAATCGCCAAAAACGGGCTTCAATCGTCTCAATGGAGTTCCAATGAGATCGCTCTGTCCATTTCTTTTACTGTCTATGAATTCAACTCAACATCAATTAAGCACAATTTTAGTTCTATGCACACAGTATCTAGCACATTTTGTACAGCACCACACAACATTACAAATGGTAAGACTGGTTAAATAAGACACTGCATGAAAAGTGGGGTTTTCGTCCCCGTAAACTGACGGAAATCTCCCTAATTTTCGGCAGTTAACGACAATTTACAGACTGTGAACGTCGCGTTCGTCTGTGCCACATATTGACGGAAACGAACCATGACGTATGCATGGAGCGCTCGCGGAGGTGTGAATGGCCCTAATTAGCATATGAATAGCAGCACTGCGCGCGCCTTGCCAGAGAATGGCTTGAATTTCCTCACTCAGTATTGGTTGAAATTCACTACATTTAAACAAGAAAATCACTCGTGATTGGTTGGCAGATCTGTTACTATTGGTCAGCCGACATAAAATTATAATAATAATAATCATATATATATATATATTCATATGATATGCTATTATGTTGTTTATTCATGTCATTGTTATCCTATGGACTAAATTATTATTACCATCAAGGACATGAATTTATTGAGGAAAGGAACATTTGCCACATACTGTTTATTCAAAGAAATAGCTTTATTAGAACAAACACACAACTATGTACAAAGCATAGGAGAACATCTTCAAAGCACAGAAAACATGTCCTCCACCCTCTGGAAACATGGGACAACATACAGCACTACAGTTATACAAATAAATCAATAATATATTGCATCTTTATTCAAAAATAAATTGCCCTGAATGGCATCAGAATTGGGCACCAGATATATCAAACACAGAAGGCAGAATTATGAATGAATAATAAGGATGTAATTTAAAGGGATTGTTCACTTTGAAATTAATTTTTGATATGTTTTAGCTTACCTCAAGGGCATCCAAGATGCAGGGGTCTTTGTTTCCACAGTATTTTCAATTTTGATATTTTTAGGTCAAACCGTTGTTGTCTGTCAGTCATATAATGCAGGTCTATGGTCACCACCTCAAAGAGCATGCACAGAGAAGACCAAATTAAACATGATTTAATGACTCATAAATTAAGTACACATTGATGGACTAGGACACGAAATGAGCGTTTTGTGAGAGAAAACAAACAGTATTTATATTGTTATTGTATAAATGTGTATATATATACATATTTAGATATACACAAAAATGCAATATATCTTAATATGTTTAGATCTTCACAGTAAAACTTCTGAAATCTGTGTAAACAATGAGTGACGTACCAGTGCAAGATCGCTTCTGGCACTTTCCGCCGCATGCGCAGATCATATATATATATATATATATATATATATATATATACACAAACACACACACTGTTCATTTTCTCACACAAACCGCTCGTCTCGTATCTTAAGCCATCAACGTGTACTTACAGTTATGATTCATTAAATCATGTTTAATTTGTACTTCTCTGTGCATGCTCTTTTAAGAGATCCCCATCGACTTCCATTATATGACTGATGCCCTTGATGTAAGCCAAAACATTTCAAAAAAATAATTTCAAGTAAACTATCCCTTTAAAACTCTTAATTCAAGTCCTGTAGGCTTCGCTCATCAGGGCGAAGTAAATCCAAGTCTTTGCGACGCGTGCTTGAGGTTCACCTTGATGTACATACACCTCAGTGGCTGTGGAACCGAATTTCATGACCCCTTCTGCAAAGTTGAAAAAGACAATGATTTAGAAGTTATGCAAAGGCAATCTGCCCCAAGTCCCCACATTTGTAAGCAAAAATATGTTTCTTCTGCATCCACTACCTGGTTTCCTTCAGGCGATGGCGGATGTCGACCAGTAGTTTCAGGACCTTTTTCTGGAACACTGAAGTAAACAAACACATTTGGTGATGTTTGCAATGCTCTAATTAGAATAACAAAGTTTGCTAGCTCACAAGGGAGAAGGTGTCTATTAAAAGTGTCTTCTCCACTGCCAATAGATCAATACTTACCACCAGGTTTCAGTCACTGCATCTCCCAGTCTCAGTCACTGCATCTATACCACAAAAAAATGTGTTATAAAGTTATTATCAAATGATGAAACTGAACAGATTTATAAGATATTTAATAACTTGGTCAAACATTTATAACTGAATATAACATGCCATGTTCCAGTTCTCTTTGGCGTTTTCACCACTGTCTCACGCTCAAAGTCATCTATAAACACAAACGTTAATACAAATTAGTTTAGTTTTACTTTTAATTTGACTGGGGCCTGTTCAAAAGAAAAGAAGATGAGATCACAACACGTAACGTTACCTTGTTTAGGTGTTTTTTCTCCTATCAGCGAAGGACACCCCACTCCTTACAGTCCCTGAGAGACAAAACAAATCACAAACACCTGAAGATTTCACTCCATCATACAAAGTGATGCAATTTTACAAACAAGGATAGCCTACACTAGAGCATACAAGCACATTACGCGCTTTATGTTTTATGACCCTGGCACTTATTATTTTTTCATAATTTCTGACGATATTCACAGTAAACGCATTGGGAAAAGCCAATTGAACACTCAGTACGAGTTAGTACAGTACAGTTACTACTGTACTGTAGTACTAACGTACAGTTTAGTGTCCCAAATTGTTCAAATTGAAACGAAACTAAAAAAGAATTAAGAGCAGCAAGCTAACGCAAAACAAAAAACTGCTCCGTTAGGTTAACACCCTTGGACATTCGCGGCAGTAATTTGTAATCAGCAGATTTGTGAAGTTTAAGACAATAATGCTAAACTACCAAACACTATAAGTACACATGGACATAGAATTCACTAAGCTGGACGAACTTACCTTCAATTTAGAGGAAAAGATGGGTTCACCAGCGATCATGACGGCGAAGCAGGCTGAATATCTGTGCCGTTATTTCTGCTTGAATAACACGCCACATGCCTGGCACGTTGGCTCAGCCAATCAGAGTGGCTGACGTTACAGGTTGGATTATGATGATATGCTGCCTCAGCCAATCAGAGGTACGTTTACTGGTTTTTGACTCAGGTTGAAAGGCTGTCGTCGGCTGTCCTTGACTTTTCTGCTGCTGTTCATTTTAAATTAGGAATAAGGTGGATATACCCAAATAGGCTACCATGAAATGTAAAAATACATATATGCATAAATAAATAACTTTATTAGGCTACTTAAAATAAATAAACCAGTAAAAATTTTTGTAAAAAACAAAAACAAAAAACATCTGTTTATAACTGTGAATTAACATCCAAAGATGTTATCATAGGCCTATATTTTGAAAACTACTTCTGTAAATGTTATGATGAATCTTGTAATTGTATTAGGAAAATTTCATATTCATAAGAGTAAAATGAATAATTCTAAACCTTGTTTGAAGTTTTTATTTTTGGGTCTGATTTTCAGTTTTCAGTATATTGAGTCTCTCAAATGTATCTATAAAAATGTAGTGATACAATTGTATTTGCTAAAGAATATTGAAGCTAATTGAAAAGTGAATTTATGTGTATGCTATTTTCTTTCTTTAAATAGTACAAATTACTGGTTTCTAACTTTCTCTTAAATCATAATATTATACACAATAGAGATAGTCCCTTTCCTGTTTTCATTTCATTTGTTCAATTCTGTCCTATTTTTATTTGTTTCTTATTTATTGTGAAATTATTATTTGTTGATTGTTATCTTTTTGGATGTCATGTTGCAATGTTAAAAAAAAAAAAACACACACAAAAAAACACGGTAATTAGGTTATACTGAGCCTGATCTATTTCTACCAGAGATTGTCTTAGAATGAAGTTCCTTTCAGAAAAATGTTACCTGGGGTGAAACTCCCCTACCCTTATTTGCATGTGTATAGCTCACAGCATTTTCATTTACATGTCAAAGCCTCCTCTAGATTTAGGAGAAGGGGGGACAATGGGGGGACAACTGCCAAGCAAGGCCCACGTCAATTTCCAGCAATTCACGGCAGTTTTGAGTGTTACCTGTAAATTGCCGTGTGCAGTCGTAAACCTGAACTTCCACGACAATCTACAGTGCCGCTTACTGACGAAAATCCCACTTTTCATGCAGTGAGAGGGAAAATTCACCCGAAGGACGGAAAGATCAGGTAGATTCCCACAGAGGCCTTTGTAAAGCGTGCTCCTACAAAGTGCAGTGTAAAACATGTATGAGTGGAAAGGCGCGATGGCTTATAGACCTGAAATCAAAATACCCATGTATTGATACAATATTGCTTGCTTTTACCTTATACCGTCTGCTGTTGCTTTAGGGCGGCTCTTCGGTTTAGCAGACAGCACAGCCATTTTATCCACTTGGCTGGTTTTATACTCTGTAGTGTGTGCAAGACATACTTTAAGCAAATCTCCAGAAAAACAACATAACAACTACAAAACAGTAATTAGTTATATGCTTTTGGTTGACTTGCCAAAGTCCTAGGTTTGTGCCATTGCTGTTCTCCCTCAGTACAGATTAGCACGGGGGAGGGGGGGGGGGACTACAGGCACCTTCAGCTGTGAGTAGTGGGCTGTCTGGTACAAAAGAGCAACACAGTGGTTGCACAGCGCAGCTCCAGCAATGCAAGAACATTTATGGTGAATCAGCTCTACAGGCTTGCTGTCTTTAAGCACCACCTGCAATGTCAGAATGTCATAGTAAGTCACAATGTATCATAGCAGTCATTCTTTTAGGATACTCATTGCTTTCCTTTAAGATACAGTCTTGCATTGTGACTAATTTTTTTAGACCAGCAGACCACTCCTGATGTTGAATCCCCTTAGAAATTAGGAGATAAAACAATATTCTAAGATATTTGTTGGATTAATGAGCTGAATCTTATGCCATATTATTTTCCACTTGTATTTTAGTAGTAGTACCTTTCACTCCAGACTGTAGCTTAATTGAAGGATCAAAACAATAAGCAAGAAAACATTCAACCAGTGGGGACCAGCTAGGTAATTCGCTCTTACTACATCAGCCTTCATGTAAGCTTAAGACCATGGGGAAAAGGTGCATTTTCATACAAAGCCTGTAACAATGAGTCAGAGGCGTGCGGATCCATTTGCAGTGGCTTTATTTACTGAATGCACACAGAGAAATATCAGTGAAAACAGGATTAAAGGGCAAATCCAAACTCAGAGTCAATACCAGGCTGGGGTCGGGGCAGGCAGCAGACAATAACTCGTAGACCAGAGGTGTAGACAAGCATCAGGAAAACCAGGAAAGATCATAGGACGTAGACTGCTCAGAAGTGTATGCCGGGGCTGATACAAGACTTCGCAGGGAGCCATGCAAGCAAGCAGCTTATCCACAAGTTTCCTACGCCCCATGAGGCCTTGCGTCAAAAGTGGGCGCGACTTCCGGTTGGAAGTAAACAAAGCCGATTTGACATGCTTGACACTCGTTCATTCAACAGTTGACAGTCATTCAAGTTAAAGCGATCCAAACTAGCCACGATGTGGGAAACACAACCTCAACGAAATTAAAAAGGGGTGAATAACAGTACCTTTACCCTCTGCAGTAGTTGATTGGGAGTATTATAATAACATTATTAATAATCAATACTCATCAAGGCATGGTGACAGACAGTTGTGCAAGCTGACAAACAATTAAAAAAAAAATACACACTTAGTCATTGTGCTTTGGAGTTTATTCAAATTATAAATGAATGTGCTACTTGAATACATTAACTGCACATTTGGTATTCTGTCAACACAGGCTTTGATCCTGAGTTTAGGTGTAACATCAGTAGAGAACAGCCAATAACATGCTGATAGAGTTTATAGAACATTAAGAATTTAAACAAATGTACACAGGAAGATTCGTCGTCTTTTGGGAGGTGATGGAAACTACAGTCGTTGGCAGAATCACTCTGATTTCGTTTTCAGCTTATGTTCAAAACAATCCCGTTTAAGCCACTAAATTAGTTTAGTCCGGTTATACATACAACCGCGAACAGCACATGTTGTCCCTGAGTTCCGTAACGACATCTCTCATAAAGATTTGCGTCTTTAAATAGTAAAATAATTCTCCGAAAAACAGCTAGCCTCTTGGCTAACTAACACACAAAATACCATTGGAATGCTACTTCCGCCGCCTCACCGGAAGTTTCACCCACTTTATTTTTTACAGGAGCGCCCCTCGGAAACTTGTGGATATACAGGAGATAAGTGGCTGCACCTGTGCAGGTAATCAGGGATGGGACTCAGACTGAGAGGAGGATAGATGGGAAATGTAGTTCAGTATTCTGGAGACTGTGATCTTTGATAACTTGGGAGAGGTGTTGAAGAGCGATCTATGACAAAGCCCCAAAATTATGGAACATGCTTTCCTCCTACCATTAGAAATCCACCCATATTGTATCACTATAAAAAGCTGATTAAGACACATTTATTTAAGGCTGTTTTTCTTTAATTGTTGTACTGCCCTTTGTTGTTTCTGTTTATTTTGCTGTAGCGCTTTGGGTTTAAGAAAAGGGTATTACAAATAAAATGTATTATTATAGGTAACCTGCTTACTCGTACTGTACATTAGTGTTTTCTAGTCACCATCGTCAATTCACTAAACTTTACTCTAGCTGATTCCCCACCTGCTAACAGAACTAATGCAAGCAAAAACCCAGTGGGGACAAGCAATGCATAGTAAACATGTAGCACTACTACATTAAACATTGCTAATCAAAAATGCTGGGTTATTTGGCTGATAAGCAAACTCTTATCTTATCTCATCTTCTTACAATATCTCATTTTCTTACATTATCTTATCTTATCCTCTCTTATCCATAACTAGTATCACCATACACTCAAGCTGTGAGGTTTCTCTTTTTTCGTCAGCGACCTGTAGCACATTGCCCTGACGACCACCTCTCCTGAATCCTGGGCCCGTATCCGATTCTGAGAATCCTCTCAGAGAGCTCCTAACTTAACCTAAAAATTCCTTGCCAGGAGTTTTAGCTTAGAAATGATTCCAGAACATTTTCAATGAACTCTGAGCAAGGAATGGATGGAAAATCCTATCTTAGTGAGGAGGTGTGGTTGACCCCGTTGCTAGGTATCATCATTTCATCATTTCATGATTCGTGATTGGTCGATCCTACAAGTTTGATGAAAATGAACTTTTGATGATAATGAGCAAAGGATGTACCCTCAAATCAATGAACATAATTATACAGTCTAATCTTATGCAGACTGTAATTGTAAATAATATTTCACATTCAAGAAAATATCTGGAAAATGAATAGTAAGCTGTAGGTTATAGCCTAACATTAGAATCTATGTGAACACTTAAGCTCATTACACCCTGTTCAAATACTGATTCGTGTCTTATTTGCTCATATTAATATCCTAGCAGGCACATTTTGTACTTTCACTCCTATATGGACCCCATTGAAAACAAGATGGCCTATCTCAAGGGGCTGTCCTTAATGAAGTAGAAATTGCAACGTTGCAACTCAGTGTGGTCTTAACGAGGGTAACACGACTCAGCTTTTATCAATGTCTGTGATTGCTGGCTAGTCTATTTATGAAGGCTTGTTAACAAATATCCTACCAACACAGAAGATGGAGAAAAAAGGAAAAAAGAAATTTTGTGCAGCTGCTTAGGGGAACTCCTAAGCTACAAAAAGTCCTCTTCGCTGCTTTTAGCAGATCTCGCCTTAGGAGCCCTTTTAAGCGCTAGGAATCTTAGGGGAAATTCTAACTTAGAATTTCCTATGCAGGTACAATGCAAATTTATATTTTACTTCCTAAAATATATTTACACAATGTAAAATGTAAAATAGTGCCCTGTTGAAGTTTTGCCTACATTTTATTTATTGTTTTCTATTTATTGTTTTCTTTATTTTTATTTATTCTTTAAAGAGATGCACTGAATTTTGGTGAATGAGAGCACCTGTTTTATTTTAATGCACATAGTTGTACATAGTTGTACATTAGCA